GCACCACAGAACAAAGCGAACCCCCACAAGACCCACTCTCCTCCTCCACCAGCCTCCTCGGCTCAGGGGCAGGGCAGCCCCGCAGCACACCCCTCACCCTCTGCCTGTGCCGGCCTCTTCCTGCAGGCTTCCTCTGTGTCCTGTGGACCTGTCCAGGGGCAGCATGCAGGGCAGCATGGCCACAAACTCCTACACCTGTCAGCGGGGCTTTGTGGATGGATTGAGCTGAGAACCTCAGCATGCGACCCTCTGGGATTCAGGATCCCAGGATGGTGTCAGAGAGGGGAGAGATGCTGGGGAGCAGAGGTGGGAGGGATGCGGCCACAGCCCAGGGGCTGCCAGGAGCTGACACAGGCACGGGAACAGATCCCCCCAGGGCCTGCAGAGGGAGCCAGGCCCGGGGCACTGAGACTTCCGGCCTCTGAGCCGCTGAGATCTCGTTCAGGTTTTTTACAGTTCCTGAGTGTGTGGTAATTTGTTCCAGCCTGCTTGGGCCCTGGGGTCGGGTAAGGACTCAGTGTTTGTTGAATGAATGGAAGAAGCTTGCTGGAGTGTGGCTGTCCACCTCCTGTAGCTCTAAGACACCACAGGACCGTAGGGTGGATGGGGTGGCATCAGTTCCCCTTACCCCTGCCAGCCCGCAAACCCTTGGGGGCCCCACGTGACCAGGGGGATGCTGGTCTCTACCCAGCATCAGCCAAGCATAGAACCCGTTTCCTTGAGAGCAGCTGAAGCCAGAAACGGCTGAAAACTCCTGACCCAGTTCCAGCACTGAGACGGGTGGGGTTACACAGGGCCTCGGAAAGGGCGCCCTGTTCTGGAGTTTCCTCTGCAGCGGACCTGGGAGGGACCCCAGACTTCCGTTTGCTGGTGGCCATGATCACCCTGGGTTTCAAGTCAATCTCCTGGTGGTCCCTCCCCCATAGCCCTAGTGCTGGGGACATAACCAGGGTCTTCACTCTAAGCTACAACCCCAAACCTTTCTTATTTTATTTGTTATATTTTGCTAAGTCATTAAGTAGTCTGGGCCAGACTTAAAATATGCAATCCTCCTGCCTCAGCCTCCCCCACTGCTGGGTTTCTGGGCCTAGGCTGCCGTACCTGGCATCAGCTCTCTTGACTTTACCCCAGGCTTGAGCCTGGCAGAAGTCCAGCTACAGCCTGTTCCCGAGGTAGGAAGTGTATGTGCTGATGGGGGGTCCATTTACCCAAGAATGGCACCCGAGGCCTAGGACACCCATCAGCTGGGACACCCTCCACACAGGTGGCCCTGTGTGCCCATGCAGGGTGGGAGGCCAACAGAGGTTGAAAACTGCCCAGGCCATATGGACAGTGAGTGGTTCAACTCAGATAGGAACCAGGCCAGCCCAACAGCAGAGCATCCCCCACCCCCGTGTGCCTCAAGGGGGCAGGACTTTGACCAAGCAAGTGTTTGATGAATGAATTAATAAGCCCCAGCAGGATGCCAGGCTTGAGAAACTCCACGAAAGACCCTAGACCTAGAGGTTCTTCCAAGCAGCCCGGGCTTCAGAGGTGGAGGGGTCTCCCTGCCACTCAGGCTGGGGCTTCCTCTCCAGATGTCTGCCCACCAACTGGCTGGGACCCCAGCTGTACCCAGGGCTCTGGCTGCCCCTGAACAATGGCAGGAAAGGAAATCAACCTCAGAGTTCTTGGCGGGCAGGCAATGGTGGCCGTGGGGTTGAGGGAAGGTTGGGGAGAGTCCCTGGCCAGGGCAGCAGCCTGAGCCTTCAGTGGAGGGGAGGAGGAACCCGTGTGAAAGCCCCCCATGGGACCCCATCACCCCAACAATGATGACTGTGATGAGCCTCTGTGGCTCACCTGCACATGCGCCCCGTGGGACCCGTGGTTTCCAAGCTTTAAATGGGGTTATTAGGGAAAATTTTTGGTTTTGTTTTCCTGTGTTTTGAGTCAGGGTCTCACTAGGTAACCCAGACTGGGGTTGAACTCTTGGTAATCTTCCTGCCTCAGCCTCTCCGAGTGTTAGAATTACAAGCATGTGCCACCACACCCAGCTTCAGGAAGGAATTTTAAAAAACAGTTTTGCTGGGCTGTGGCTGTGGCTCGGTGGTAGCGTGCTTGCCTGGCAGGAACAAAACAAACCAAAAACAAAAAAAGCCCCATGCACCGTACAATCCGCCGGTCTCAACAGTACAATCCAGTGGTTTTAGCATATGAAGCTGTTCAGCCACCACTGTGAGCCGTTTTAGAACATTTTCCCACCCCAGAGAGTGACCCCGACCCTGTAACCCATCACCGTCCAGTCCAATCCCCCCCTTCCTTGGCAACCCCTAAGCTACTTTGTGTCTCTAATGCTCTGATGCCCACAGGAGGTCTCTAATGAGCAGCTCAGTTGTTCGGAGAGCTAAGAGGCAGCTCCGGGTCTTAGGGAAGGCGAGCTGGGACCCAAAACCAGAAGCCCCACTCTTGCACTCTTGGGGCTGCAGCTCAGTGCAGGAACGGGGGGGGGGAGGGAGGGTTCCTGCCAGATCTCTGGTCCTCAGGACACCCTGGGAGGTTGGTGCCCATTCTTAGGGGAGGGAGGGGCAGAGAGCACTGGGGCTGCTGCTGGGTAGAAGTGGGACTCCAGGAGAAAGCTTGTGCCACTTGCTGACAAAGAGAGGCTCTTTCAGGCTCTCCTGTCTCCTGCTTCTTTCTTTTTATAGGAAAAGGAAAAGAAAGTTCCCTCCACCCTTTGAGGTCACTTCCTGACCCATTCATGAATCTGTGCGGAGTGGTTCCAAAAGCACTTCTCCTGTTCGTGCTGGCACCCCAGGGGCCCGGTCCAGTCCTGCTGCCACCACCCACGGCCAGGTGTCCCAGGGGCCGAAGCTGGAAACTGATCACACATGCGGAGGCGGAGGTGGAGGTCAGGCCAGCCCTGTCCCAGAACAAGCTGCTTCAGTCCAGGGGACACCAAGCCCTGATGCCATCCAAGCGGTAGGTTGCTAGGCGAAAGGGTGTCACGTGACAGCGGCTCCCTGCCCCATCTGGAGACGGGGCCCCACCGATGATGCCAGCTTTCTGCTTCTCGCCTTTATTTCTTCCCCTTTTCACTGCACGGTCCTCACCCCCAGAAGCTGCAGAGCCTCGAAGGTCAAGGCAGACAGGGGCACCCTGAGCCCGAGGACTACCAGCCAGGGGCAGGCCCCGTGTGCCCTGTGTGTGTGGCGTCCCGGGCCTGGAAATCAGCACCGATTCATTGCCACGTTCCCCAGGAACCAGGCTCACATCTCAGTTACTCTCATTTTAAACAACCAAGTGGAAGCTAGAGGAAGAGCCAGGAGCCCGGACTCGGCCACGCATAGCTTTGAATTCCTTTAGTTGTTCCTTTGGTGGGGAGAGCGCAAGGTGGGTTAAAAAATGGGGCGAAAAAGAATTAGAAATACGAAAAAAGTATGCCCATCACCTCCCACACATGGACACTTTACCTCCGGAAACAACGTGGGTTCCAATTCACAGAGGAAAACCAGAGGTGCTGAAACACCGTCCCCCCTTCCCCATCCCTCCTTCCCCATCTCCCCTTTCTTTTGCTTTCTCTAACACTAGGTGTCGAACCCAGGACTTTCATGCTGAGCGACATCCCTGGCCTTTATTTTAGAGATGGGGTCTTACCATGTCCATAAGGCTCCCAGGCTGGACTCAAATTTGTGATCCTCCTGCCTCAGCCTCCCAGAGTGCTGGGATTACAGGCATGCACTACCAGGCCCAGCTGGCGTGTTCTTTTCTTGTCCGATTCCCATGGAACAGAGACAATTCCAGCCAGAGCCTGCGTCTGTGTGACAGGCTGGGAGGAGCCAGGGCTTCCTGAAGGGTCTCCAACTTCTGGTCCCACACTCACAGTGAGAGATCTGGCCTGCTCCTAACACCCACGCAGGATTGGTAATAATGAATTATACATTGCGGCTGCACTGATATATTATTGTGCACATTGTATAACAGGTACCAAGTGAGAAGCCTGCAAAGGCCCACTGAAATAAATAAATACAAACTAAAAAAAAAAAAAACAAAACAAACAAAAAACAAGGCAAAGAAATTGGATTCTTTGGTCATTTATTCCAGGGGCAGAAACCAGTGGTTTCCAGCGGCTGGAGTCCTAACAAGCCTTTTGGGGCTTCTTGAAAACAATAGTCTGTGGTCAAAGGCACTGGACCTCCCCCACCACCCTGGCCCCTGCCTCCTGCCCTGGCACTTACAGGTGTGAATTTACAGCAAACAGTCCTGGGACTCCAGCAAGAGTGACATTCCTGGGTCCAAACAGATCACCAGAAAATACACAGTGAGACTGTGCCTCAAAAAACAAAACAAACAACCGCCCACCCTAACTAGCCTAACTAGCTGGGGGACATTGGCTGTAATGCCAGCACTCTGGGAGGCTGAGGCAGGGAGCTCCCGAGTTCAGGCCTGGGCAGTGCAGTGACTTATCTAGGTCTGTCTCAAAGTAAAGAATTAAACAGAGCTGAGGAGCAGTTCAGTGAGAAGGCTCCGGGTTCAGCCTCCATTACTACAAAAACAAACATCCAAAACCAAAACAACAAAACCAGAAGTGACACCGAAGTGCCTGATACCTCCCAAGGTGACTCAAACTAAAGCGGGCTGCAGTCACAGCAAAGATAACGTCCATCAAAGACGCCCAGCAAGCCTTAGAATAAACGCTTCGTGAAACTCTAGGCTGGAGGGAAGCGTTTCTCCCCTAACGGGCATTTTACAATCTTCTCAGAGCAGGGGCATCGATGATGCCTTCTCTGTCCCTGAGGTCGGCCCTGTTTTGAGCACATTTTGCAGGACAGCCGAGGGAGGCCTCGGTGTTTAAGTGTTTGCAGGCGGTCACCGTGCGGGGCGCAGTGGTGCACACAAACCCGCGTACACAGCAGGCGCCGCATTCGTGCCGGTCACCTGGCCACGCGGCCGGGCCAGCGGTCCGCGCTCCGCCGCCGGGCGGGCGGGGCTCCGGGCGGGACCGGGGTGCCGGGGGGCGGTGGCCCGGGTCACGTGGCGCGGCCGCGGGGAAGCAGAAGTAGCGCGGGCGGCGCCGGGCGCGCGCGGAGCCGGAGCGAAGCCGCAGGCCGAGCCCGGAGGGGGCGCTGCGCGGGGACCCGAGCCCGACCTCGGCGCGGCCAGGTGAGGGGGCGCGGGGTGGGCGCCGTGGGGCGCCGGGCGGCGGGGCCGGGCCGGGTGGGGGCGCCCTGGGTCCCAGCCCAGCTGCCGGCCGCTTCCTCACCCCGGGCGGTGCCACCTCGCGGTGGGAACCGTGCGTGGCCCGGGTTTGAATGGGATCGGGTGGGGGCGACCCGGGCGCCCAGGCTCGGCCGGCCACCGGGCTCCTCGTGCGCCGCTGCGGTCCCTGCGCCGGAGCCCCGGGACGCGGGCGCCTGCACTTCCCCGTCCGCACAGGTGGCTGCGGCGTGGGGGCGGGGAGCGATGCCCGGCGGGCGCGGCCCTTCCTCCCGTGCACCCCGAGCTGCGCGCGCGCCGCTGCGTTTTCTTGGTGGGTCGCGCGTGGGGATCCCAAGAGGCCGCCCCCCCGTCTTTACCCCTAAAGAAAGAACTGGGGCGGGGGGGGAGGGCACGGTCTGAGCAGAGAGTTGGGGATCGGGGTCCGGGAGACTTTGGGGTCCGGTCCTCCTGGCACCTGCTCTCAACAGCGGGAGACGCTGCTGGGCCGAGGGGGTGACGACGCACCGTGGAGGGGGAAGCAGGTGGCCGCCTTAGGCAGCCTAATTTGCATTTCGGTTCCGTCTGTGTGGCCCTGGGCACGGTGCGGACCCCCCCCCCCCGTCTTGGTTTCTCCCCGGGATGCTGCGGCACCCCTCCCCACCCCCACCTCGCTTTCCTGGCTGGCCTGGCCGTGGAGAGGGAGCCCCCGAGGGCCCGACGGTCCTCCCTTCCGTGGACACAGGCCCTTGTCCTTAGTTTCAGTTTGACAGAGAGGCCTCACAGAATTTGGGGGTCCCTGCGGCCCCAGACAGTGACTCCTTCCCCTTGCAAACACGCAGGTGCCTCTGGATGGGAGCGCAGGGGAGACTCGTGGCCGGCTCGCCCCCCGCGAGGCTGCGCACGTGCACCCTGTGCAGAGCCCCTTTGCATTCCCTAGGTGGAGCCCGTGGAAAACCGCTGGGGAGAAAACTTTTGGGAAGGCTTCTTAATTTAGAAAAGAGCGAGAACACCAAGCAGAAAAGCTTATCCACGTCACCACATCCATTCGCAGAGAGGCAAGTCATCTCCTGGGCCGGCTCTCGGCCTCCGGCCTTTGGGGGTCCGCAAGCGCCTGGCTTTGTCTGCAGGAGACGCACAAAAGCGGGCTTGTGTTACTTTTCTTCGGGTTTTGCATTTTTCGTGGAGGAGCTGTGAACCTTTACAGATCAAGTGGTTCATCAGGCATCTTCCTGCTATTTTGGCTCCAAGCCTTTTGTTAATGGGCATGTTACTTTGTTTATTTACCGCCCCTCCCCTCGTGGAGGGCTGTTTTTATGTTAAAAATAATACTTCTGTGAACACTTTTGTGCGTGGCTCTTTGTGCTTGTGGGATCAAAGATATGCGTTTTTACATTTCTTCCCCCTTTTTGCTGTGTGGGGAACCGACCCCAGGGGGTAAGGCGAGAGCTCTACCATTGAGCCACATCCCTAGCCCTTTTTTTTGAGGCAAGGTCTCACTTTGTAGTTCAGACTGGCTTTCGATGCACTGTGCAGCTCAGGCTGGGCTGAAACTCGCTGGATTCTCCTGCCTCAGCCTCCCGAGTGCTGGGATGACAGGTGTGTGCACCTCAGTGGGTAGTGGTGCATTTTAAGAGATGCTGTTCACAGGTTGTCCCCAGACAAATTCTCACCAGTGTATCCTTCTTCCCGTGGTGGTCTACACTGCCGGGTTAGCACGCTGCTCTGGTGTCAGATGCAGCAGCTGTGTGTTGGGGGGATTCTGCTGAGGTTCGCCCTGCCAAGTTTTACCAGACTGTGCCCTGCTCTGCCCTGAGCACTCAAGAGGAGAAATCTTCTCTATTTCCTGGTTTGGGGCTCTTGTGTATCAAGTTTATTTCAAAGGGAAGGACAGGACATGTAAAAATGACCAAGTTGCTCATTACACCCAAGCTGTGGTTGTATTTACACCATAAGTCATTTTACAAAGTTACCCGTTGAGGATGAGAAACAGAAACAAAAAAGGAAATTAGAGGCGATTTCGTTTCTTAAGAGAAAAAGCAGAAGCAATCCTCCGGAGGTTGTCTGATGGCTGGCGCCCTGCCCTGGCCCAGGCCCCAGGCTGCCTTGCCCCCGGTGCTGAACTTTGCGCTCTGGAGAGCTAAGCGTGGAGCTGGCTGGGTTGGGTGGCGGCCTCCAGAGTCCCCAGCCAGCCGGGAAGTGTGAGGACCTGCTGCCTTGTTCTGGTTTGTGCTTCATGGCAGGCGTTGCGAAGTGGCTTTGTTTCCTGCTTTTGACCTACTTGGGTTGCCCTGGGCACTGGGTGGAGGGAGCACGAGTGACAGGTGACCCAGGCGTCGCCACAGAACACATTGTCAAAGTCCAGAGCAGGCTCAGATCCCAGTTCTGCCGCTTCCTGGCAGTGTGACCTCGGACATGTCCCTTGCTGTCTCTGGGAAGGGCCAGGGGCTGCCAATTGTAATGTCCAGCCAGATTCTCTCAGGGGATTCTGAGTTCCAGAAAGTGAGTGAAGCGGGAAGAGTGCGGGCTGGGCCTGAGACCACGGTCCAAGTCCTGGTGTCGCCACCGGGTCTGCGTGACTTTGATTAATTATGTTCACCTTGCAGGACTTTACCTTTCCTCCAGTGTTTCTCACTGAGGTAATGAGATCAGCAGCTCCGTGCAGCCCAATTAAGAGCTGATTCCCGGAAGAAGTGGACCAGGGTGCCACCTTCTTTTGGCCTCCTGGGTGATGGCCGGACCCCAGGCAGCATGTTTTGCTCAGTGGCAAACCACACACCCCCTATCTGTCCTGCCTCCGGGCCTTCATCCAGTACTGCATCCTGGGACTGGACCCCCACACATGCCCCCTCCCCAGCCTGGTCCTCTTCACAGAATGGGGGCCTCCTCCCACTGAAGGCTTTCTGAGCCCCTGAGATCAGGGTCTTCCCAGGCGCATCCTGAGGTGGCTGTGCTGCTACCAAGGCCCTAGCCTCTGCACGTGACTGCCAAGCCTGCTTCCCAGCACCGTCAGCAGGTGTCGTTAGTGACTTCCCACCTCCTGCCAGTCTACGCTTGAGGGAAAGGGGCAAAGGGCAAGGCCTGGCCTCTCCCCTGCCCCCTGTTTGCCTCCTGGGCCCAGCTCCAGCCTGGCAGGGGTGCCAGTGCCCATGCAGCCTGCTTCTGCCTAAGATAGGGTCATACAGGCTGCTCCCCCTTTGTAGGGAAGAAAACTGAGGCCCAACTTCTGAGCATCTTGTGGGAGGCTGAGCAGGCCAGAGGCTTCCTGGTCTTTGAGGGGAAACCCCTCTAAGAGCTACTGTGGGATCTTGGGGTGCAGAGTAAATGGAGGGGGATGCAGAGCAATTGGTAATAGTCGTGACGGGGCCATCTGAGGAGTGGCGGGCTGTTGTCGCTGTGCTAAGGGCCTGGGACATAGTGTCCTGTTCGGTCCTTAGGACAGCTCCAAGAGGCGGTCATGTTGTCTTCATCGGCATAGGAAGAGGGCTGGAGGGTTGGGGTGGCCTTTCGCTTGTCTTGCTGTGTAGTCAGCCTTCCCTGGACCTCATGGTGGTGTTCCTGCTTCAGTTTCCTGAGGGCTGGGATTATAGGCATGTGCCACCATGCTCAGCCCAGGTGCTTTCTTGGGGCTGCCCTGGCTGGTGCAGAGGTCCCTGGTGACCCAGCTGCAGGTCCTGGGGAGCCCTTGGTTCTTGCTGCCATGGGGGGAGGGTAGACACGGTGTGCAGGGGGCAGGATGAGCGAGAGGGATGGAGTGGGGCTGGGGGCACCCTGGCAGGGTCTTGAGCAGGAAGGCAGCGATTCTCAGACATCTCTGGACAGAACATGTAACAGAACCAGACCCAAGGGGGGAGCCCAGTGTGCAGAGTCCCTGGGAGGAGCTGTCGAAGGAGAGGCCAAGCTGCCCACCAAGGCCACTGTCCGCAGGGACCCAAACCTGGACTTGAACTGGACACTGCTGTGACCTTTTCTGCCCTTTGGCCTCATTTCCAGCCAGAGCAGTCGGTCGCTCCATAGACACGTTCTGAAGGGTTTTTTGATTTGGTTTTCCTCAGCCTGATCCTGCTTGGGAGGTAAAGGGATGGCTAGGAAGGCAGGATAAGGGTAGGGATGGACGCTGGCCTTGGGGATGCCAACGCTGGCTACTTTGGCTATTCAAATATCCTGCGGGGAGAGGGAGAGGGATCTGCCCCCAAGGCTGCGGTGATTTGGTTATTCAAAGCTGGCCTAACGGCAGGGTCACTTAGGTCAGGGGCTCCTCCCCAAGCTGGACCTCATTTAAAGCTCTGTGTCCTGTTGATTTCCCCTAACACTCATCCTGCTGGGTGCCAGACAGGGTTTGGGTTCCTGACATCCTCGTCCTGTTAACTAGGTTGTTTCAAACTGATCCTCTCCCTGTTCTGCTCTTACAGCCTCCTGTTCATTTTTCCTGCCTCCCTCTTCTTCCTCCTCCTCGGGGCAGCCGACAATGACCGCCATGGTCAACGTGGATGCCCTTCCGGAATACGAGAAGAGTCAGATCAAGCGGGCCCTGGAGCTGGGGACGGTCATGACAGTGTTCAGCTTCCGCAAGTACACGCCCGAGCGCAGGACCGTCCAGGTGATCATGGAGACGCGGCAGGTGGCGTGGAGCAAGACCGCGGACAAGATCGAGGGTTTCTGTGAGTACCGTCCATGGCGAGACCCAGGGCCTGCGCACCTCTCTGCCGGGCAGTCACAGTGCTCGCGGCAAGGGCTGGTTCCTTAGGGTGTTCTCAGCCCTCAGAGGGGCGTTGTCCCTTTGAGCCCGCCGTTTAGAGATGATATGCCGCCAGGGCGGGGAGCCCTGTGGTCCCCTCACTGGGCCACCATCGGCCCCCTCCAAGGGCTAACGTTAGCCAAATGCTGGCTGCAGACCACAGCGGCGACAGGTGATCATTTTGGGGTCCAAGTTCAGGGAGCTGTCAGTGCACTGCAGCTTGCAAACCAAGTTTGGTCCTGGGCCCCGTCTTGGATGGCAGTGCCCGCCTTGTCTCCCCACCCCTGCTCAAGCAGTTGGCTCAGCTTCTGAGGTCTTTGAGACTTTTAACAAAGAGAGGAGGGCCGGGGAAGGAATGTTCAGATGCACAGACTCGCTTTGATTTGTGCTTTTTATTAACTAGTTTGCAATGGAGGAATTACAGTGTACTCTGCCGGAGTCGAGGCATCCCAGAAGTTGTAAATAAATGTCGCTCTCTCCAGCTTTCTCCTCATTCCTGCTTTAGAGTCAAGCTCATTGCCGGTTCCTTTTGTCTTGCAGAAATACCCTGTGCACGTGTATGTGGGTGTGTGTGCGAGCACACAGGTATGGGCGAGCAAAGGGGAGCTACTGTGAAACCTTCTGCACCTTCATTTCTTTGTTCACTTAATAATTAGCTTGGGAGGCCGCTTATCAGCGTCCATCGCTCTGCCGCATTCCTTCATGGTCCCCTAAGCTGGCTGCGGCGTGACAGTTTAACTTGGAGGTGGACTTTTTCTACTTTCTAGTCTGGGTCATTAGGCACAATAACGGTGCTTTCCGTTTCTTTTGAAAAATAGCCGTTTCGTTGAGATGGAATGGGAGTGCCAGGCAGAGGCATTTAGAAGGCTAAAGGCGGTGGCTTAGTGTATAATCGATTGTGAATACAGTTTTAGCAGACTTTCATCACCCATACATTTGAGCCATCCGTCCCCAAAGCCCCTGTTCCCAGCCCAAAGCAGCCATTAATCTGCTGTATAAATCTCTATAAATTTCCCTCTTCTGGGCGTTTTATATGGATGGAATCTTACACTGCATCACCTTTTGTGGCTTCCCCACGTGCCCCCAGCATAATGTTTCCAAGCTTTATTAGTTTGTAGCTTGTATTGGAGTTTGATTGCTAGATAACACCACAGCATAAGAATATTCCATAATATGTCCATTTATCTGCTAATAGCCGCCTAGTGGTTTCTGCCCTGCGGCTCAGATGAGTTGTGTTGGTGTGAATATTTGCGTACAAGCTTCTGAGCGGATGTATGTCTTTATATCTTCCGTGTGTTTAGCTTGTAAATTTTTATGAGCACACATTTGCAGTAATAATGATTGCATTCATTGTAGGAAGGAGCTGGTCCATGTATACAGCACACCGTCATGTTTGTGTTTCTTTTGGGTGCGTGCCTAGGCGTGCATTCCTGGGTCCTGTGCTCGCTCTGTGTGATGATTTTATATATATATTTATTTATGGTTTTTTTTTGAGACAAGATCTTGCTCTGTAGTTCAGGCTGTCCTTGAACTCAGCGTTTTTCCTAGGCTGGTCTTGAACTTGCAGGGATCCTCCTCGATCAGCGTCCCGAGTCCTGGGATGACAGGCGTGCGTCACCAGGCCCAGACATGTTGTAAAATTGTTCAAGGAGCCGCAGGGCTGCTTTCCAATGAGGTCGCATGACTTACCACCAGCCGCGTTGGAGGGCCATTCTGGGGCTGCATTTTATGCACACCTGTGAGTGTACCTTTGCGGGAGATGTGTTTCCGAGTTCAAGGGCATGGCGTATGGGAACTTTGAAGGACAGGGGCACAGCTCCCCCACAGAAGAGTCTGCCGCTCTGACCGTGCTATGCCCAGTCTGCCCACCTGCCCACTGTGGGTTCTGCACTCGGCCATGCAAACAGAGATCTGGGGAACCTGGTGTCCTGAGTGACATGGCCAGCTTCCCTGGGTCTTCTGGCCATGGAGCCCGAAGGTCCCAGGTGACACGGAGCTGGAAGCCAGGCTTGAAAGCACCTGTACACAGCTACCCCTTCCCCACCCGGGTCTTTGTGTTGCTCTCATCCACCTCCTAGGCAGCCCAGAACTGTCACAGCTGGGGTGGGGTGCGGTGGGGAGACCAGGCTGATGTCGGATGCAGCAGTGCCACACCATGAGTGGACAGCAGGTCCTTGCTCTCCCCGTCTTGCGGGTCCTGAGTCCGGCACCTGTCAGAGACACCTGGGTGGGCAGAGGACAGCTGTGTTCTCCAGAAGCTCGTTCTGAGAGTGCAAGAGGTTGCCTGGGGCCCCTCGACCTGGACTGCATTTCTGCCCACCCCCTTAGCGAAATCAGGTGATTGTATTCCACCTGCCCCAGGCACACAACACTTCCGCCTGGGAGCCCCTGTGACCCTGATAACTAGCCAGGTATCAGAGCACTTCCCTCTCCCCTCTCCCTCCCCACCACTGGACTTTGATCATACCCCCATTTGATGCCTGCGCTGGCGGCACTGTCCCAGGTACCAAGTACCCAATACAGCTGTAAGTTAGACAGCGACCCTCACAGGGCTCGGGCTGTTCTTTGGGGCCCAGTAGGTGAGGCTCCACTCCCAGCAGTCTCTGGTTCACCCCGTGGCCTTGGGCTGGTGGCCTCCCCTGCAGGGCTTCCGTTTGCTGTCTGTATATGGGAGCGGTGTCAGACCCACCCTGCAGGGTTATGACGGGGGTGCAGCACAGTCCATGGAGCTCGAGGTGCTCGGGCCAGGGGTGCTGCTGCCTTCCTGACATTTGCTGCAGCTCCTAATGAATGGAGGCCTGCTCTCGAAGGGACGGCAGGTCTGGTTTCCATGTCTGGGCTTTCCTAGTGTTTCTGGCAGGCAGTAGGGGCAATTTACAGGTTTGGGAAGACAGTGGTGTGACCGGGTTTGCAGTTTGAACGTGCTGATGGACTGAAGGAAAGGCCGGGGTCCAGGTGAAGACTTGGGGTGCTCTCAGCATGGGGTTATGGCACACACCTCTATGGTCAGTGCCACCTTTCTGGTCTCTTGCTATAAAGGGGACAACTGTGGGGCAACTCACTGCTGTAGGATCCTGCAGAGTTTCTAGACAGCAAGAACTTCCTGGTCACTGTGCAGCCCGCAGGGGAGAGGCACCCCCAAGGGCCATTTGGGGGTGCTTGGCATGTGCCGTGCGACTGCCGAGTATCACAACCACTGCGTTCATGGCACTGTGATTTTGTCCCTGATCTGAGGGAACATTGGGCAACGTTTTCAGACCTGTTATAAGCTGGGGCCAAGGGCAGTGTGGACAGGCCGGGGATACTGGACAGGCCAGGGATACCGCTGCATGTCCAACAAGGCACGGGATGGCCCCTACTGCAAGGAATTGTCACACACAGCAGCAGTGCTCAGGGGAGACCTGCTCTGAGGTCCTGCCTGCTGGCTTAGAGCGATGGAAGGGCTTGATACACAGGGCTGCTTGTGTTGCCTTGACATCAGGCTGGGTGCTGGGCTCTGCTGAGGGGCAGGAGGAGGAGGAGGAGGAGGGACAGAGCACCAGCCTGCAAGACAAGGGACAGTTGGCAGAGCTGGGCACCGTAGTGCTGCCTGGTTGAAGTCGTGGGTGTGGGAGGAGCATGAGGGGATGGCATCTGTCTGGGGTGGGGGGACTGGCAGGGGACTGGGTGAGGCCTCATAGTGGAGGAGCTGAAGTGGCAAGCTGGGGAAGGAATTGTCCAGGTGTCCAGCAGGGGTGGCATCCTGAAATGGAGCCCATTGCTGCCACATGATGCAGCTGAGTAGATTTACGGTCAGATCTGGTCAGGGCTCAGCCGGCTGATTCTTCTGCTCTGTGTGGCCTGGTCTGAGGTCACGTGTGGTATGCAGTTGGTATCATCAAGTCTGGAAGGCTGTGGGACCTTCACTCATACCTGGGCTCCTTGGTGATGATGGCTGGGACACGGGGTTCTGTTGGACCCTTGACCAGGTGTGGTCTGGGCCAGACAATGCAAACCTCTGTGGTTCCCGGAAGTCGTTTGCACCATCCGGGTCACCCAGCCCTGCTGGGTTTTAGAAAAGGGACACTCCCTCGTGGAGAGGGGTGGTGTGTACATTCAGGGTGGGGGCCCACAGAATGAGGAGACTCTGAGACCAGAGCTGTGGGTCCCATTCCTGCTCTGCCACCTACTGGAGGTACGACGTGAAACCAGAGACTTTACTACCTCGTGCCTCAGTTTCTCTGTTGAGATCATAGTCATTCTTGTCTTATGGGGTGGGAATGAAATGGATTTTATTTAATGTACTTTTAAATATGTGGGCTATATCACATCATTGCAACTTAATAAAATACAAGCAAAACGAAGAAAAGAACTGGGCATGGGGTCCCGGGCCTGGCCACTGTGGAGCTGATGTGGGTCTTGAAGGAGCCGCTTGCCACATGGGCTTCAGCGCCCTTTCCTCTCCCAAAGGTGTGAGCTCAGTGCTGCTGTGACACACGCCCTGGAGTCAGTGTATAAAGAGCAAAAAGGTGTGTATCGGCTCCGGGTCTTGGAGGTGTCCTTGTGACCCACTGGTCCTGTCACCTTGGGCTTGCGATGGTGCAGCCCGGCGGGGTGGAGCCAAACCCTCACCATGGCTCAGGACTGCAGACACAGGAAGGGGCTGGGTTCCCACTGGGGTCCCACACCAGGGACCTGAAGGCCTCCCGCCGGCCCACTGAAGAGAGCCAGGGTGTGCTGTGTGTGGGGACTTGCCCTTCTGAGGGCCCTCGTCAAATGGTGTCCAGGTAGAAAAGGGCTGGCTCTGGGCCCTTTTCGAGTTGAGCCTTGGGGTCCTCTTGGATCTGGTCCATTGGAGGGCCCTGGCCTGTGACTTGGGTGTGATGGCACCCATTTGTGGGTCTCGGTAGGGTCCATAGGCAGGGAGCAGCCTCGGCCTGCCTT